TACAGTGAAAACAGATTAACAACAATCTGGTACAGTGAAGACAGATCAACAACAATCTGGTACAGTGATGACAGATCAACAACAATCTGGTACAGTGAAGAAAGGTCAATAACAATCTGGTACAGTGATGATAAATCAACAATCTGGTACAGTAAAGACAAGTCAACAACAATCTGGTACAGTGATGACAGATCAAGAACAATCTGGTACAGTGATGACTGGTCAACAACAATCTGGTACAGTGAAGACAGATCAACAACAATCTGGTACAGTGATGACAGGTCAATAACAATCTGGTACAGTGATGATAATTCAACAACAATCTGGTACAGTGATGACAGGTCAATAACAATCTGGTACAATGATGAAAGATCAACAACAATCTGGTACATTGATAACAGATCAACAACAATCTGGTACAGTGAAGACAGATCAACAACAATCTGGTAATAGAAGACTGGTCAATAACAATCTGGTACAGTGATGATAATTCAACAACAATCTGGTACAGTGATGACAGATCAACAACAATCTGGTACAGTGATGAAAGGTCAACAACAATCTGGTACAGTGAATACAGATCAACAACAATCTGGTAGAGTGATGTAGGCAAGTCAAGAACAATATCCATGGCTCCTCAAAATCTGTTTGTGTCATTGCCAAGTTTAAATCCTTAAGGCTGCTAGGATCAGCACTCAGGACTAAGATTTTCAAAGTTTTCAGTTCACTTTTTATAAGCTATTAAAAAAACATAATCAAATACTGGAATTTAAGTAATATCTGATAAAGGAACATTTGTTAGTGATCCTATGGACTGACCTACACATCTTAACCAATCTACAAAAATTATCCCACCACCACCAACCTTCCAATTTTGTTGGCTTCCAGAATTCCATCAAAGCTGGTGAATTGATATACAAAAGCATGTTAAAACAAATCGAATTAAAGAGAAAATTAGTTTATTCCACCATAAGCCCACCATTTGAATTTCTAATTTGCTCAATAGGAAGTTAAAATGGTCATCTAGTCATTTGTATATATTCAAATTGATAATTACATAAGATTTAGGATACAATTTCAGCACCACTCCTCTTTTTCTGATCTTTCTCTCTCTTTCTCTCTCTCTCTCTCTCTCTCTCTCTCTCTCTCTCTCTCTCTGTATTTTCCCTTTCATTTTCCTTCACCACGTTTTTGTTTTTTTTTTTTTTCAACATATCTTTTTGACAATTCGTCAAAGGGGATCGAACACAAATTCCAGGAAACTAGATACCTAGTCAGCTGTACTCTATACTGGATTGACTGATTATTGTTTAATGTCCCTCTCCAGAATTTTACACCCATAGATGGAGACGCTCTCTGTACTAGTCAGGTAAATACTGTAAATTCACCAAAAAAAAAATATTTTCAAAAAAGTACCAGATTTAGGGTATGTCTTTTAACCACAATGAACCACAAGGAACCACAATGAACCACAATGAAACCACAAGGAACCACAATGAAACCACAAGGACATTTGCTTCAGATCCTGGATTTTATTACATTTTCATGAGGAAGAAGTATTTTAAATTTTTTATGTAGGTCTATTTCAAAGTATCAGATCAAAATTGCTTTTAAAAATATTTTCATTTTTGGAATGTATACTTTTTGTTGGTTAATTGTGTGACTTTGCCTTACTTAAAGACAACATTCATTGAGGTGAGCTCTGTAATCTCTGATTACCTATGTTTATAATTGTATAGGCGAAAGCATTATAAGAAACAAGAGGCCTCGCTCTTGTGTTGTACATGTATACCATAATTTTTTTCTAATGCACTGCTGCTTTAATTTTGAAAAAAAAAAGAACAATGAGAATATCCCAAAGTTGCAAAAATTTGGATAAATTGCATATTATTAAAAATAGTACTGTAATGAATATTTTAAGAGTAAAAAAATTATAATAATTGTAAATTGGTTCCTTGTGGTTTCATTGTGGTTCCTTGTGGTTTCCTTGTGGTTCATTGTGGTTCATTGTGGTTCCTTGTGGTTCATTGTGGTTAAAAGACATACCCCCAGATTTATGTCAATTTACATTCTATTTGCAAAAATTTTATTCCTGATAAGTATATTTTTCTTTAGCACATTTAATGCAGGGTTCGACATTAACGTTAGTCCGTTAGTCTCAGACTAATACATTTTCATTCGGTCTAATAAAATTTGAAGCTAATTAGTCCGAACGGACTAATAAAGATTTCTGGGGAAAAAAAGGAATTTACCGATGTTCAATTCTCCAACTTTCACTGGAAAACCCTGCATTTATTTTTAACTTTCTTATTTCTTGGCGGGAAGTTAGGTTATACTGAGTCAATTTGGCGCTTAATTTTAGGACTCATTGGTATGAAATCAAACATTTTAGGGATCATGATTTTGTATGATGCATATAGAAAGATGTCGGATGTTTGGATGATGTAATATTGTATAGCGAAAAACAAATGAGATCAGGAATACGATCGTAGTTCCTGACTGAGCGATTTCAACGAATTCTTGGTATAAACATTTCAGGTAAATGCTTTGTTTATTTCAAAAAGTATCAAAAAATACATTGCAACATAAATTCTATTTATTTATTTATATTTTTGACAAAAAAATTATCGCGGAGTAAAAGTAGAGAAGCACTAGTCCGGCCGGACCAAAGCCTTAAAATGTTAGTGTCGAACCCTGTAATGTACATATTTTATAGTAAATATCTACACAGCAATAACCAGAATGGGTGAGCATTTCCTCTAGCTCATAAATAACAATAAGCTCCTACCTAGTGAAAATTTAGTGTTGCAAAAATTCAATGATTTACAGAATAATCATGACAATGAAAGATTAATATGATTTTATCATTAAAAAAAATCAAAATTTCAGGAAGGAGAAAAAAAATTCAAAGCAATAAATCTATCAATACAATGGTCATATTATCAAATATCTGCCATTTAAACATAGGTGGGTGTTTTTCTATAGAAACTATTACATCACTTGCCATATTTATACAAGGATAAAATATGAATATATCATATGTAACATGTGTAAAATGTAGATCTATGGAATTGTGATAAAATATATCCATAAACATAGTGTGTAGGATCAAACTTCTTTCAGTTCAATTTATTTTCCAAACTCTACCACACTATACACAGTTACACTGCAACATGTCTAGATTGAAAAAAAAAGGGGGGGCTAAACCAACCCAACCCCCCAGTTCCAAGGCCTTTATTCATGTTATTCAAGCAAGTGAAGAATCGACACATGGGACCTTAGTTAATGGTGACAATATTGAGGCACCTATTTATGATTTAACAAAGTCTGACTCTAAATTCAAATTATAGAACATTCAACATGGTAGTTTTTACATGTTTTATGAACATAAAAATCCACTTTTTTCATCCGAGTGTCATTTGTTTGTTTTGTTGTTGTTGTAAACAATTCTGTTAGTTTTTTAGATAACAAATTAATATGCTCCCACCTAGGTCACTGTTACATAATCAGGTCAAGGTAGGTCAAAGTAGGTCAAGGTGTTATCACCTAAAATACAAATTTCTTGATGAGATTTGTTCCTTTAATTAACAAGTAACCAGAGACACTAAATCTTTTTTGACAAACTCGCTACCTCTAAACTCATGTGCATCTGCATTTTGGCAAATGTTGCATCATGTACAGATTCACCTAATGTATGAATCACTCCCCCCACCTCTCTCTGCCTCTCTTAATCTCTATCTCTCTCTCAAACTTTCCAATATGTGACACCAAAACAGCAATACAAATTCTAATGGCACCTGCTCATGACTTTTCTTAAATTAAAAATTTTATAGAACTTTTCAACTGAGCAAAGTAATAATAGTTAGAGCCAAATTCTGGATTGAGCCACTTTCAACAAGTTGAAGAAAACTGAAAATTCAATAGGACAAAAAACAGCAGAATTAACTCCAGGATATCTTACAATGTTTAATTTCATGCAACTTTTAATACAAATTTTCTGGAGGTGAAAAATCACTTTCATCCATTAGAATTTGAACCAATACTCTTAATAATAATCATGATAACCGTGATATTATACATAATTTATATTTAGGGATGTGCGATTTTATCGGTATACCGGTATATCTCGATTTTTTATTGCGTGATACATATCATGATACGAAGACCTAAATACCGGTATTTAGGTACATATTATAAAGTCCAGAAATTATTCATTTATTTGTTCAATCTTTCAAATTACGATTACAGAAAGTCTAAAAAAATGTTGTAAAAGGTAAAAAAACGGCATCTTATCATCCAAACTTGATCAATTTTAGGTATATAAAATTTCAAAAAAGTGAAATTTCGTTTTTCTAGTATAATTTCAGAAAAATAATGACTATTCATTTAAAATTATTGTAAAATTTGCTTGTAGTAAAAATATCATGATATTGTAGTAATATTTTGGGGGAAAATCATGATATATCACGATACGAAATTTTTGGTAATACCCATCCCTATTATATAATATTCTTATACAATCAAGACCGTGAGTGGTAAAATTGATCAGCTAGCATATATGGGAAGGAGTCTGTAATATGCTGTAATATTTGGGGAAAATCTGAAGATATTTTTAGTTTTTTACATTCAACATTTTCTCCATTATGCACAGAGACCAGTTGACCTGAGATTCTTAATCATATCATGTGTCAGTGAAAAACCATTCATTGGGTTTAAGGCCATTCAAAATTTAAAAGTTATTAACATAAACTTGGTAAAATCAGGTAACATTGGTCAACTTTCATTGGGTACCTTATACATAAGCTTAACTACAATGGACCATTCTGAATGAAGCTACACCACAACATGAAGGAATGCAATATAATCATGATATTGACCTAATATTGTGGGGTAAATTTATTAAGGCATCCCCTTGTCTGGGTTGTGTAAATTGACAAGGTCTCGTCTTAACCAAATGTGTGGTCAGCCCTCAGCGCTGTCTTTGCATAAGTTGTACTCACCTGAGCCGGGTCCTCTAGGCTTGCCCCTTTAGTCTCCCCCTCCTCGCTGGCCTGGGACAATGCCCCCGTACTGTTAGACATCCCATCGTCGTTCCTGTCCGTCTGAAATGGTCGCAGTTTACTGCGAATCTGAGCCAGAGCTTTCCTGTTATACCCATCTCGCGAGAAACTGGACTTGCTTTCTACCAAGTTTGGTGTGCTCTGGGATAATTCTGGGCGATTGGGAAGTGGATCTGATTGGTCAGACTGAGAGCCGCGAATGTGACTGAGACTTTCTCTCAGATCGTGCAGCATCTGTCGATTCGGGCCGCTGATGACCAGCGGTCTGCGGCCCGATGTGAGGTCCTCTTTTCGGGACATCATATACAAACTTTACCATGTGTACTCCTTTCCTGATAAATCTTGCTGATGTATGTACATCCAATTTCAGAAATAAATCCTTCACTTAATTTTCCAAATCACATAGGGAGAAGAAAAAAAATACCCAAACACAATCACATTGTGAGAGAATTAGGCCATTGACCAATTCTGAAAGAAAAGAAAAACAAGGCTGAATATTACAAACATTACTTTCACATCAATCTGCCCCTCAATTACAGAGGCAGGGACCAGGCTGGGCTGTCATTGTCGAGGAAGTGAGGAATCTTCGCCTGTAATGGCCCCTGTACAAACGTGAGCGACCTGCCGTCATGACACTACACGAGTGACTTACCTTTCCAATATGTTTCACCAGACGGGCACCTGTTGTCGACTAAATCTCCCTCACAACAGAGTCTACACTGACAAAAATCAACTGACACTATCTCAGAATACAGTCCTCACCAAATAAGAGAGATTTTTGATACACAGTTCTACACGATATTGACAATTGCGCCGCCATGTTGTTAAGCCTTCCGAGGTTTTCTTACGAATACCGAGCGAGAAATTTAACGGATCTGCGTCTGTCGGTGTCCAGGGATTACAGGAGGGACGAAATACAACCAAATATGTCATCAAACAATTGATAGTAATCAAAAGGTAAAAACAGGCGTCAAAACTTACCCGAAAAATCCCATAACCTGCACTAGGACTCCTCTAAATTCAATATTCGGGTATTGGACGTCTGTATTATCTAGGGGTAACATTCCGAAGTCAGGTTGTTTGACCTAAATATAAACATGTCTAATTTCCCAGACTTGAAAAGAATTTATTCATTGCACAAAAAGAAAATACTCAAATTTACATAATGTAAACAGCAGTCATCAATCAGAACTTCAAAGGATGAAATCATTTAAAATATTATTCGCTCATTGAGCACTTCTCCCCTTACACAATGGACTCGTCCGTTCCCGTGTGTGATTGACATGCGATTACGCCCATAACATTGTTGACATTCCTGAGCGACCACGTGACACTTTATAACACTTTTAGTGGTAAATATATTGATTGCATATCTTTTCTGCACATCAAAGGATATACTCACAAACCATTTCAGATGGTACACACAAAGACATCAAATGATTTTCATTTATTTTTTTATGTTCTTTTGATGTTAAAAAACAGTCGAATAAAATTTTAAAATGAGAGCAGAGATTTGTGAACACAATAGATCTATTTCAAACAAACCAGTTTCTATTTTTCTCCTCTTGCTCACGTAAACTAGAGATCTACTTCTTTTTTCTTTTAGTAGAATAGGAACATTGCTTTGTTTATATATTTTCAAATGTAAAATATCGAGAGATTTAATGTATGTGTTTATTTCTGGAAGCGCCAGATGTTGATGGAAACACGCACTTTTTTTGTTTTTCTGAAACACGCCTATAGCTATTATTACATTATTCATTTTGTTTTAAATATTACAGAATTGTAATTGAAAATAACCAATAATTATTGATTTTCCTTTACAATGTGTATGTGTTAGAAAGTGGGGGGGGGTAACGAAAATGTGCATGAAAAATCTTTAAAAGCGCTAAAAAGTACGAACTAACATCACAAAAACTTACTTCGTTGTTTTCTTTGTTTATTTGAATTTACAGTTATTTAAGCTACTCTCTACGATATCGTTTTAACCTTTTACTTAATAATATCTGTTATACTCCCAACATGAAGTTTTATTTTGAGTTACTCTTTACTTGAAAATTAATCGTTTGTTTGTCATCAGTTACTCTATAAATGAAAACCTTTATTTTACAATTACATTCTTCATAAAAATCGTTTATTTCAAAGATATAATATTACGTGAAAACCTTTAATTTTACACTGCAAGTACACGAATACTGTATATTTTAGAGTTTTTCTCTATACATGAAATTAATTCATAGAACTTCATAAATGTTAATGATAACATTATAGATAATGAATACATGCAATTCTCTTGTGTCAAAAACTCACGAACCTTTAACTGAGTTATCTTTAACACCCCCTCCCGCGAAAAAAAAAATTGTTTTATTCAATTGTGGCAAATTGTTTCTGTCTGTGTGTAATGTCTTTCCTTTTTCCTTCAAATATGTATTCTTTGGAGACCTTTCATTGGATACCAACATCTTTGACCTTATGACCTTGGAGATTCCGTACTTATGAAAAAAATAACATTGGCCATAACTTTTGAACCGTAGGGGCTAGTGCTTTCATACTTCACATATGTAATCCTTGTGAAAAGACCCTTCATTGGAGACCAAGAACTTTGACCCTTTGACCTTGGAGTTTGACCCACTTTTAAAAAGCAAACTATGACCATAGCTTTTAAAGGGTTAGGGCTAGTTCTTTCATATTTTACATATTTGATCCTTGTAACAAGACCTTTCATTTGCTTTCAAGAACTTTGACCTTGACCTTGGAGTTTGACTCACTTTGTAAAAAAAAAAATAACCTTAGCCATAACTTATGAAGGGTTAGGGCTAGGGCTTCCATACTTCATATACGTATTCTTTGTGGCAGGACCTTTCATTAGATACCAATTACCTTAACTTTTGACCTCGACCTTGGAGATTTCCGTACTTATGAAAAAACTTTAAACTTGACCAACTTTTCATATTTCACAATTGTATTTCCAATGTCTGGCAATGAGAAAACCCTACTTTGGGTACCAATACATTAAATTTGCATTTAAGAAAAGTTTAATCTTCGCAATGTTGCCATACGGGCCATCAGTGTTTCACAAACACATCTTGTTTCTTCAAATGTTATGGCCAAGATTAACGTTAGGTTGTCACTGAATTCTCAAAGTAATGTGCATTTCTTCAAACTTCATATCCTTAAAGGGCCATGGACACAGTTTCAGCAAAAATTTTCAAATTTATTTTCCCATTTTTGCAAATACAGTAAAACTCGATAATAACGAAGTAACTGGGACCTCTGAAATTACTTTGCTAAATCCGTAATTCGTTATATCCGTATAAGGAATTCGTTAAATATATATATAGTTGGGGGATCCAAGATAACTTCGTTATATCCGTGAATTCGCAATATCCGTGTTCGTACTAAACGAGCTTTACTGTATTTAACTAAGGTCTTTCTAATGATCATCAAAATGTGAACTTCATTTGTCGTGTAGAAGACAGATTTATAGAGTTCCAAATCTTTGTTGTGTAAACAGGGTGCGTGTCATGTTTTTGTTTGTATAGGTTAACATACTAATATATGTTCTTTAAAGCAGATAATTTCAATAAATAAGTTAATTCTAAATACGATTAGACAGTTTCTACAGTGATTTGCTAAATTTCATTTGTTATAAATATGATATTTTCTATATGTAAACACAATACAAGGCATGAGCCTTGTTTATGTTTTGAAGAACTTTATGTTCTGTATCTCGTTTGTTAATCAACAAAGGATAAAAATTCAGTTGAAACTGTGCCCATGTCCCTTTAAAGTTAATTAAAACACATAAGGGAAAATTATAGTGATTCTCAAATAAATTTCAGAAAATGCAGATAAAACACTATGCATTTTCTAATTCAAATATCGGTCAACAAAATATATACCTTAGGATAAAACTAAAACTAAATGTATCCAGACATTTAAAGAAAATTGCATGTTTTTTTTATATGTATACGGTACTTTTAAATTAGTTTATTCTATATATAAATAGTTCAATTATTTTAAAATGCAAAGAGAATAAAACTTTTCATACATTCTTTTATGTGGTACAAATGTCAAGTTTTTTTCAAAGAATGTTGAAAAACATTGAGATAAAACATTGAGATAACGAACAGTATTCCAGATCAAAAGTCCATAAAACAATATAAAACAGGAGCAGAGCAAACACGGACCTCTAAAATCAGGGGAAAATCCGTCTTCAATTCAGTGTATAAATAATGGACTAACAATTAGTATGGAAAACGTCATTGATAAATTGTATTTACCGACGAGGTCATTGTATCGACCATAGAACTTACGAAATGATGACTTTAAACGAGACTGCTGATAATCTTGTTTCATTAACTTGTTTGTCAATAATTTACCTCTTTTTAGAAATTGTTCATACATGTATAGAGTATGCTCTTGCGTCTCGAATCAATGGATGTCGCCCGCGTGGCGTATTAATGGTTAGAGCGTCTGCTCTAACAGTCGCGAAATAAGGAGTTGATCCTTACGTCGCGGGTTAGAATCCATTTGTGGGACGTGGAGACCGGTCCTTCGGATGAGACTGTTTCAACCGAAGTCTCGTGTCACAGTAGGTGCTGGCATGAAAAAGATTCCCCCTGCTCAATTGCCCTAAGTGCCGAATATAGGGCAAAATTTGCCGCTCTCCACCGGCAAGTGATGGCATCTCCATATGAGTGAAAAATTCTCGAGAGGGACGTTATATAAACAACATACAATCAATCAATCGAATCAATGAAGATTTATCCGTATGCAGGTGATGAAGATATATTGCTGCATAACATAAGGACATATAGTATAGAGCTTGCATGGTTGTTAGATTACCTTTAACGTCCTTTTCAAGTAAAATATCCAAGTATGAAACAAATGTGTCAGATTCTGTGATATCGTATCGACATAAGAATGCCTGGAAATTACCATTGTTAATTGACATTACATTGTCGATATTATCTTAATGTCAAATTGAAGCCACCGCAAGTGTTTTCTTCTTTAATAAATTTCACGCAAAATGTTGGAAAAATTCTGCTTCCTATGGGTGCAAAAAACAGGTCTGCTAAGAACGGGGCGCAATTGGTACTCACGGTATAATTCCTTAGATACATAAATTGAAAATTGTTGCATTAAAATTTTCAATTTAAAGCTTCCGTTTGAGACTTTTTGAATCAAATAATAAATAAGTAATAATTAAATCAAAGAGTTATCCTTCCTGGTTGAAGAAGGAATATCCTTAACGGTATTGTCAAGATGTTTTCTAAGAATTCATCATTTATAAGGTCAAATGGAAGACATTATGAGATGTACATATAGTTACCAGTATGATACACCACCCACACCTAGAAATTAATGCATAATTAATTAATTACCAATCACTAGTGCGTACTAGGTCAAATCATAAGGTATAGGACGAATCTCGAATTTTATCTCGATTGCTAAACCATGATAATCAGAACACGATAGATTAAATTTTTATTAGATCATGGCATTTGCGAATCCTGCATATAACGTCAAGCGGATTGATACTTTTTTGACGCAAGCCATCGAGCATGACGTAGGCAACCCAAGTTATACATTTTAAATTCGTTTTTCAGCCAATCAAAAAGTTTGTTATAACCAGAATAGAATTACTAAGAATTTTTGCGACGTTTGGAACTGGAATACCCCCATCACCAACACCACCCGCTCCTTGAACCAAGTATATGTTTAAGTTATACGTCTATTCTATTTTTAGTAAGGAAGTAAAAGTACACGATGCTATATAGTTATATTAAGTCCCTACAAGAGAAGAGGACAGTGAACCCTGGATCAGGTGCCCCAATATCTCACAGTGCAATCTGAATACCTCGAATGTCTGCTGGCTGTCAGGACAACTTTT